GGTGCATGTGTGTGGTGATGGGTTGTAATTAGTATTTTGGTGGTGAACATGATGTAATCTATGCAGAAATAGAAGTACAATGATGTACACCTGAAACTTTTACAATGTTATAAACCAATGTTACTGCAATAAACAAAAAATTAAAAAAAAAAAAACTCAATTGTATTTCTACATACTAGAAAGAAACAATCAGAAATCGAAATTGAAAATATCACTTACATAGCATCAAAAAGTATGATTCCACCCTCCCCCATGATTTTAGGGATAAATCTGAGTTACAGATGGATTTGACAAAAGATCAAACACTGTTGAGAGAAATAATTTAACATTTAAATAAATGGTGAGGTTTACTTTGTTCAAGGGTCATATGACTCAACATATTAACACATAAATTCTTCCCATATTGATTTACAGAGTCTATGCAACCCCAACAAAAATCGCAGCTTTTTAAGAGAAAGTGACAAACCGATTTTGAAATTCATGTGGGAACACAAGAGTCCAAACAACTTTGAAAGAACAAAATTGGATGCCAAACACTATCTGATTTCAAGACTCATTATAAAGCTACAGTAATCAAGATACTGTGGTATTTCTGTAAAGACAACAAATAGATCTGGCAACAGAACAGAAAGTCTTAAACCTACACACATAAGGACAACTGATTTATTTTTTAAGGACAACTGATTTTTGACATAAGCACAAAGGCTATTAAGTGGGAAAAGGGCAGCTCTTTCAAGAAACGATGCTAGATATCTTTACTCAAAAAAAGTTACCTAAGGGCTGGCCCTGTGGCTTGGTGGTTAAGTGCGCGCGCTCCGCTGCTGGCGGCCCGGGGTTCGCATCCCGGGCGAGCACCGACGCACCGCTTCTCCGGCTATGCTGAGGCCGCGTCCCACATACAGCAACTAGAATGGATGTGCAACTACGACATACAACTATCTACTGGGGCTTTGGGGGAAAAATAAATAAATAAAATCTTTAAAAAAAAAAAAAGTTACCTAAGATCCACACTTCACACCACATACAAAAATTAGCTCAAAATGGGTCAAAGACCTAAACATAAAATCTTCATTCTAAAACCTCTAGAAGAAAACATAAGAGAAAATCCTTGCGGCCTTGGGGTTGGCACAGTTGTTAGACCAAAACCAGGATCCCTACAAGCCCTCTGAGCCACCACACAGCCGCCCCCTTCCCTTTCCACCTGGGGCCGCCTGCTGCGCCCGGCCCCGCCCTTGGACTCTTCGCGCGGGCCCGGACTCTCCGCCCCGCCCCGCCCCCTCGCGTCCCGCGGCGCCTGGCGGGGC